AAAAAAAAAAAAAAAAAAAAAAAAAAAAAAAACTACAGCTTGGCATATCATTGTCAAGATTCAAGAAATTCAACACAAGAATAGAATCTTAAAAACTGTAAGGGAAAAGAAATAAATCACCTATACAGGAAAGCCCATCAGAATCACAGCTGACCTTTTAGCACAAAACCTCAAGACAAGAAAAGCCTGGAGTAGAGTATTTCAAACTCTACAGGAAAACCACCTTCAAACCCAGATTGATATACTCCACACACCCATCTTTCAAAACTGATGCAGAAATAACATACTTCCATGACAAAGAACAGTTGAGGAAATTTATGATCACCAAAAACAGCACTGCAAAATGTTTTGAAAGATATTCCAAAAGAGATAACAAGGACTGCAACTCCATGAACCCCAACAGAAGGAATTCACCAAGCAAAGCAAACAATTAAACAGATGGTGGGAAGAAAGGGAGGGAACAAAGAACAGGAAAGTAACATGACAAGGATAAGCCAATACACATCAGTTATAGCTATCAATGTTCATGGTCTCAATTCACCAATCAAAAGACATAGACTGGCAGAATGGACCAGGAAGCAAGATCCAACAATTAGCTGCATACAAGAAATACATTTAATTCAAAAAAGAAATTCATAGGCTGTAAGTCAAAGGATAGAAAACAATACTCATGTGACAGGAACCCAGAAAAAAGCAGGGGTAGCTATTCTACTTGCAGACAAAGTGAATTTCAAGCCAAGACTGATTAAAAGAGACAAAGAAGGTCAAGACATTCTTGTAAAGGGAACAGTCCAAGAGGAAGAGATAACAATCATAAATATATATGCATCAAATACCAGTGCACCCAACTATATAAAACAAATATTAACAGACATGAAAAACCAAATAAGCACTAATACAACTATATTGGGAGATCTCCATACCTCACTGTCACAAAAACACAGATCAACTGGACAAAAAATTAACAATGGAATATTAAAACTGAGCCAAACTTTTAAACAAATGGACTTAGTAGATAGATAGAAAGTGTTCCAACTCACAACATCAGAACACACATTCTTCACACCTGCACAAAGGACATTCTCCAAAATAAGACCACATACTAGCTCATAGAACAAGTATAAGTAAATGGAAAGGAACTGAAATTATTCCATGCATATTATCAGACCATGCAATGAAATTGGAAATCAATGGCAACTGTGTAAACACATGGAAATGCAGTGCAATGAAATTGGAAATCAATGACAACTGTATAAAGACATGGAAATTAAATAGCACCCTCCTGAACAACCAATGGGTCACAGATAAAATTAAAGAACAAATTAGACAGTTTGTACAATTAAATGATAGTAACAATACAACCTACTGGAATTTATGGGACACAATGAAAGCAGTCTTAGAGGGAAACTTATAGCAATGAATACCCCCATATCAGGAAAACAGAATAAGTACAAATAAACAGCTTAATGGTGAACCCCCTTAATGGTGAACCAAACTTCTAGAAAAATAAGAGTAGACTAAGCCAAAAGGTAGTACAAG